CTAACTAGAAAGATGTCTAGATTATTATAACTAAGAACAGACTAACTAGAAAGTTGTCTAGATTATTATAACTAAGAAAGAGACTAACTAGAAAGATGTCTAGATTATTATAACTAAGAAACAGACTTAACTAGAAAGTTGTCTAGATTATTATAACTAAGAAAGAGACTAACTAGAAATATGTCTAGATTATTATAACTAAGAAACAGACTAACTAAAAAGATGTCTAGATTACTATAACTATGAAACAGACTAACTAGAAAGACGTCTAGATTACTATAACTAAGAAACAGACCAACTAGAAAAATGTCTAGATTATTATAACTAAGAAAGAGAATAACTAGAAAAATGTCTAGATTATTATAACTAAGAAAGAGAATAACTAGAAAAATGTCTAGGTTACTATAACTAAGAAACAGACCAACTAGAAAAATGTCTAGATTATCAAACTAGAAAAATGTCTAAATTATTATAACTAAGAAAGATGTCTAGATTACTATAACTAAGAAAGAAAATAACTAGAAAGATTTCTAGATTACTATAACTAAGAAACAGACCAACTAGAAAAATGTCTAGATTATTATAACTAAGAAACAGACTAACTAGAAAGATGTCTAGATTACTATAACTAAGAAAGAAAATAACTAGAAAGATTTCTAGATTACTATAACTAAGAAACAGACCAACTAGAAAAATGTCTAGATTATTATAACTAAGAGACTAACTAGAGAGATGTCTAGATTATTATAACTAAGAAACAGACTAACTAGAAAGATGTCTAGATTACTATAGGTAAGAAACAGACCAGCTGTAGTTTTGGTTAATGAGCTTTAACGACAGTTTATCCTCCCTGAATTACAATGAAACTTACCTAACTGATCCTTATTGTTCTGCTAGACAGTAGTAAAATCTATTGATTTCTATTAGTTCTAGAAACATACATATCGTAACAAATCATGAACAAATTAATCTACCTTGATTATTACATACAAAACCTCACTTTACTTCTTGTAAATATGTCTCTCCTGAGTTCATAAAATGAGGTGCGATGTGTTAGTAACGCGCGTGGAATTTGTTTATGAGAGATCGTTTTGCTGGCTAGACGTGACTAGAATAAATAGTGTCTAAACCATGTTTCGGTGAGAAGCAGACGTCAGTCATGCTCATCATAATTTTTTTTGCGTCTGGATTTCAATGCTAATCAGTTTCTTAGCTCTTCCTACAAAATCACGCAATAACTGAAATAAGTAGCAAATATAAAACTGATTAAGATGCATAGAAATTAAGCAGACAAACAAACAAAAAATATCGTAAATAATATAAAGATAGCTATATATAAATTGGAATTCAGAGGGTAAGTTCCAATTTTCTTTCTCTAATAAGGAGTCTTTTGACCAATTTATTTCCAGTTTCATTATTCTGTTCAGACAGGTATGGATCTGTGAATTCCAGCTTTAGGAGATAAATTTTCTCATCACACTCGATGGTCTCTTTTAGAAACCTGTTTTTATTTTGTTACTTTACTGTTTAATTAAGAGTATTTAACTTGACAGACAGGTTGCAGACGGTGAACAGTAGTTTTAGATGTAAGAGGTAATGAGCCTGCCCCCTCCCTCGGTAGCTCACCGGTAAGTCTAAGGGCATGTAATTATAATGCTAAATATTTGTGGGCAGAACACAATATCTCATTGTGTATCAAACTTTGTGCTTAGCAACAACAAGACAAACAGTAATGAATCTGAGTATACATGTTGTTTTTATGTGATCTTTCTCAAAACAATAAACTGATTGTGAATAGCAAGGCGTCGCCATGTATAATAAAAAAAGGTTTGTTTTTTGTTAAGCACAAAACTACACAATGTTCAACCTGTACTCTTTCCACATCAGGTATCGAAACCTGATTTTTATCTTTATAAATGGAAATACTCTCCAAAACTTCAGTCTGCTATGATCTGGGTTACTCTGTCTAGAGAAAAAAATATTTCTTTTGCTTGTACGATGCATTAGGCATCACAGACAACACATATGGTCAAAAGCATCCCGTTCAAAACCGTGGAGCAGCCAGAATAGAAAAGTTATAAAATAATGACATATCCGATCCGTTTGCTCCTTACGTGAAATAACAAGATACGTCAGTACGAAATACAGTAGTTTGATGATTTCTTTTTTGTTTTTGATTTTTATCAGAATCTGTCGGCGGTTGTCACTTTCCTCCTAAAGTATGTATTAAATCTTCCTTTCTTGCATGTCCCTGTTGGCGAATACTTTAAACTTTATCCAGGTATGTTCTTTGCCTATCTACATACATTTGAAAATTTCGAAGAGTTTCTGTATTCTGATAGAGTTACAGCGGTTTATTACTTAATATGGTTCTGTGTCAGTTTCACTAGTTAAAACTCAATTAAGCAAGTATATAGTGTATTAAACAATGCACAACTACAAAGTTTGAATCTTTTTAGGGAAAATCACAATGGAACTGGCAATAACGTTTAACAGTTCACTCTAATTTAGTCCAGAAGCAATTACTTGTAAAGCAGTCTCATTAGTTGTAGTTGAAGAATAAACAATCACATAGTTACCCGATCTTCTTACTAGCCAGAGGTTCCCGGATCTAATATGTGAAAGGACAGATGTAGTAGTTTATTGCAAGTGAAGTGAAAGAAACAAAGCACGGTGTAAAAATGTTTTGAAAAACCAGCAGAGAAAAATAAGTGTTAACTAAAATACCTTTTGGGCACTTGTATAAAAATCATAAATAGATACACTTAAAAACAACAACCTTTTTTTTTGGTTTACACAAGATAAATCATTCATATTCGAAATTGATCCGTATTTGTTTATAATTATTAAATATTTTGTTTAGTTTAGAGCTACGTGATGCTGTTTAAAAGAAATAACGATATTTCTTAAGGTAATCTCTTTGTGATATATACGTAAGTACCTTTTCAGAGGATTTTGTTTGTTTCAGAAATTCGCGAAAAACTACACAAGAAAACTAGTCGTTCTCGATTTTAAACTGATAGACTAGAGGAAAGGAAGCACCTACCGCCAACCCTTGGACTAGTGTGATAAAACAATAGATTTTACCGTCACTTCTATAACACACCCACGGTTCCAAAGTACGAAGCGCGATTTTTGCAGTAATGGAACACGAACCATTCGTACACGTATTAGCTTAATTAATAATAAAAATATATATTATAAGTTATCCTTTTCTCTTTGTAGCTCTCTTTGAATGTAAGTGTGTTACTAAAAAGCAACTAAATAACTTAGGACAGTAAATTTAACATAATTCTAAAGTTAGTTTAGTCATGGATGTTATCTAACCTTCAAAATTAGCGGGTTTTTTTTTCTATGTTAGCACCAGCTGTGAAATTTTAATGGATTCTTATATTGATTCAGTATTCACAAATTAAAAGAAACCAATCGTGATTTTAACTTACGTTTTGTTTGTTTTTTTGCGGGACTTCTTATACCTATTGATGGAAGCCTGTGTAGCTAAAAATTGCTTAACAACTCTTTACTTGGAGGGAAAATTATTCCACATTAAAATCTCAAGGGATTCCGACAAGTTTGTTTTCATCTGAGACCAGCACAGTAACGATCCACATGTGCAGAGGGAATGCATGACCGTAATGAGGACGAACAACAGGACAAAATATGATGAATGTTTAAAAACTAAATCTTTCTTGAACGTTAGTTTACATTACCTGCTGAGATGTCTTGATATTTCTTCTTTGTATAAATCTGCACAAAGTAGATCCACTGGCAATATCTTTCTGTTTTTTGTTGTTTTCTTGTTTATGTTATCGTTCACATAACTGTGATGTAACCATGCTGAACGGAAAGCGCGTTTGATGTTTTTGGAGCTCATTTGAATTAAGTATGAAGTACAAAATTGTATTTGTCCAGTTCATCACGTTTCAATGTGCATGTTATTAAGAATCCGTTTTTTAACCAACAAGTTTACCAAAATATATTTCTAACATTTTTCTTTACTAAATATGAAGTTTGTTCGCCAAGTTACAACAAGTTTTGTTTTTGAAAAAAAGCCTCCAAGTAGGTAAACCAAAGGATTTTCACATAATTAACATGTGTTTCGAAATCTTAAGAAAAAAATAATTTCTTAATTATGAAGGAAACTAATTTCTCTTTTGTGAGTAAAATTCTAAAAAGTTGACACAGAAATCTAAAAATATTTTCATATAAACTAATTATTTTTCTATGAAGTCTCAATTATTACTCACAAAGACTACAGGTGCTTTTTTTTAACTTTCGTTGGTCTCTTAATTTTTTAAAAATTCATTGTGTTTACCTTCCCATAACTCGTACTAGATGTATATTTAAGAGTGAATACATCTCTCGTTACATAAATGCAGCATCTTATATGTATACTTTGTGAAGGTGACAAAGCCTCCTTTCCGAACGTTTTACTCTAGACAAAGTACGTACACCTATATTTCTATCAAAACGCATTTGATGTATTTTTTTTTATAAAAGCAAACTTTTAAACATCGTTATCACATGCAAACTTTAGCTTAAAAATTGCACGGTTTACTGTTCATTCAATGGCGTCCTTTTAAAAGAATATGAATTGAAATAGAATAATCCTTCAGGATTTTTCTGAAACACAAGAAAAGTGCCAGCTAATCAAATGAGTTGAAGTATCATTGTGAGAATTGTACAATGTCCTTATCTTTCGGGTTGAATGTGAAGATTGGTTGTAAGACAAAATCTAACCACCATTTACTCCCGTCACGATCACATATAGCATGAATCATACTTTACTTAAGTGTATTTTATTTTGTTTTACAGGTATGGCAACTCAGTTGAAGAGCGGTTACATGCTTAAACATAAAAGTAAGTACGTCATAATATGTTTTGAAGAACACTCTTTCCTGACCAATTAATTATACTTTCATACTTCTTAGTTTTGTCTAAATGCGTCTGATTGCATAGATTGTATAATAGGTAGTTGAGTATATAGAGAGTTTTAGTAGGTTTAAATAAGTTATAATGCATATTTGATATTAGTGAACGCATATAAACGTGATACACTTTTTATTATATATACTTAAGTTAATGTACTGAAATATTCGTGTTAAAATGTTAAGCTTATTGTCCTATATAACAAGTAAAATACGTAAAAAAAGATCTTCCTTGAAATTCAACTTTTGGGGGGGGGGAGTTAAACTAAACAGTGGAATATTTGCACTTTTTCCACTGCATGGATTGAACCCTGGATTTGAACTGATAAACATCATCCTGTTAAGTGTTTATTTAACTACTTATAAGCGGATAACTAAAAACTGGTAGTGTTCGTAGATTTGTAAATCTAAAACAAAAACGACAATGAAACGTGTACCGTATTTTTCGGAATATAAAACGCACCGGTGTATAAGACGCACCCTTTATTTGAGGACAAAGTTTTGAGGGGAAAAAGCTACAGTCGCATTTG